TCCGGATCCGATCCGGATCCGGCCCGCGGGCCGTAGTTTGCCCACGGCTGACCTAGACCCAGCTTATTCTCTTTGTTATTTCTTCATCTTTCACCGCCCTCACTCAGGCTTTCGAACCGTTGGCTGAGCTGGCTCAGCACAGTTGGGGTGTGTCAAAAAGACATGAGTGTCAAATGAGTTTTTTTCTTTTTAAATCTATTTAATGTATTGTCTTCAGATAGAGGACATATCAGATATTAAACTGATAAGAACAGATACTACACTTGGTCTTAGCCAAAAATTCAAGCGATAAATGAAAGGAGTTTGCATGGGCAAATCTGGGACATTTTGAGTAACAAAATAACGGTAGTAATGGGTTATAAACTACAGAATAACATAATACTTGAGCCCATGATCAATAAAATTACTGAATAAAGAAGAGGGAAGAGCCCTAGCTAGTTTGACTCAGTGTGTAGCGTCGGCCTGCGGACTGAAGGGTCCCAGGTTTGATCCTCAAACCTCAGCTGCAGGCTCGATCCTCAGCACTGGTTGGGGTGCGTTTGGGAGGCAACCAATAGATGTTTTTCTCTGTCTCCCTTCTATTCTCTCTAAAAATCAATGGAAAAATATACTCAGGGGAGGATTAACAAAATAAAAAAATAAATAAAATGCTCATAAAAAAAGGGAAGACAACTTTGCAGTAGAATTTTAACTACTACAAGTAGAATGATAATAGAAAATCATCATTTGGCAAATAGTACACTAACAATCATTTCAGCAAAGAACTCAGGGGGTGGGCAGTATGAATGCCTACCAATTAATGGGCAAAAGTATGAGAAATAGGATACTTGTACTGTCCCAAGAAATTTCCCACAAGATACTTATTAATTGTAAACCCCAATAGATCTTTTACAAATTATTGACCTGGATTTTTCAAAACGTCTAAGGTCATGAAAGACAAATACGGAAGTGTCCCAATTAAAGGAACTAAAGAGAGAAGACAAACAATATATGACACTGAAGTGGATCTTTGACTAGGGAGACATTAAGGGAGCAAATGGTTAAATCTGAATAAGGTCTGTAGAACAACAGTATAAGATAATATAATAAATAGAAGTATTGTAATAATGTTAATTTCCTGATCTGGACAATTGTCCTATAAGAGGTTAACATTTGGAGAACATGAATAAACCTTATAATTTTCACATATTAAGATTTTTTTCCAAAATGAATTAAAAAAAATGTTTAAAGTATTTTCACTTGACCAGAAAAATAACTAACAATCCCTCCCCAGTGTTGTCAAGCTAATGTTGATCATTAAAGAAAAAACACTAAAAGTAGAAATGATACGAAATAGAAAGTCACAGCTTCCATTTGTAATTAGTCAAACTATGTATCAATCTTAACTCTAGTTTAAGTTCAATCTTTCGTTTATTAAGATCTGAACTATTGGGCAACAGCATTAAGAAAATATTGTGCCCGACCAGTGTGGCTCAATGGTTGAGTGTTGATCTATGCACCAGCAGGTTGCTGGTTTTGTTATGCCCAGATTTCAAGACCCCCCACAGAACCACCAGGGAGCGCCGAGTCCGATGCAAAAGCATAGAGTCTTTTATTCAAGCTAGCTTGGTCCCCCTCTGCCTCCATTACGATGCAAGAGAGCCCGGAGTCTTGGAAGAACAAAGAATTTATAGGGCTTGTGGTCGGGGGGTGGGGGCACACTCTGACCACTGATTTGGCCGATTCCGGTTGGTTGATTGAGGGCCGGGGGCTAGTGACGCAAGGGCAGGGTGCAGCTAGGGTCTGGTTACACAAAGACAGGGGGGTGGTCAGCATACTTTCGGCCTTGAGTTTGTTTTCCCTTGCATTCCCATTGGCTGAGATAAGGGCAGGCTGAGTAACTGATACATTCTATGGCTTTTGCTGGAAGAGGAGTTAGGAACACAGCTATCAGTCCTGTTCTGTCCTTTCAGTTTCAAGGCTCAATCCCCAGTGGAGGGCGTGCAGGGGGCCCGAGATCCATGTTTCTCGCTCAGAGATGTTTCTATCTTCTCTCCTCTCCTCTCCCTCTAAAAATCAAAGAAAATATGTAGAGCTAATGGATGGTAGACACTAGTAAGAGAATACCTTCTAACACTGGATATGCTTTGGCAGGCTTTTCTACAGCATAGGGCAAACACTCTGGCAGGGGAGGAGAAGGATGCTATAGAACTAAATACTAAATTAGATAGAGTCTAACGAACAATAATTTAAAACCTCCCATTACCTTGGCCAACAATGTGGGCAAAAGCAACAATTGTAACATTTGTTAAAAAACAAAAAAACCCAGTAACAATTAAGCATAATAGAAAATAAGAACACTATTGAGTTTGACAAATTTATTGGTATTTTAGTAAAGACATTCATCTCAGTTATTTCTCTCTCCCATCTTGACCATAGGCTAATATTTCATTTGAGTCAAGAAAAGAATATGCAGGAGAGGTATTTTATTTTAACAATAAAATAAACAAAAATGAAAAGTTTGCCTACATTAAAGTGAGTTAAATTCATGTATCTTGATATCATTAAATCAAGTAGGTAAGAACTAAGAGTTCTATATACATTTCCATTGTTTTACTTGGGACTTACTCTAATAAATGAAAGTGAACAAAGTGTTAGGAATATATACAGGCTGCTTCTCTGGAGTTACTACCTTTTAAAAGAGCTGAGCGATTAGTTACCACCATTAAGACAGTCTGAAGCTGCCTGCAAATTTAACATTGTAGAAGTTTTCAAGGAAATCATTATACTGCATTTTTCTTTTATCTATGACTATACCTTTAAAGATGTGTTTAATTGTCACATTAAAAAAGAATTCATATACAAAAATACAAAAACAAAACAAAACCCTACAACACATAGCTCTAACAAAGTATATGTGGTCAAAGATTCCATAAAATGATTAAAGATGCATTTTCTTTTCTTCTATTTTCAATATCGAAAATGTGCTTTTGAGAGGCCATTGGTTAATATGCATACACTTAAAATAAACCATTTTATTGTATTAAATAAGAATTCCTGTAGTTAAGTACAAATCAAAATGGAATTCACAAATTAGTAACTTAAATGGTATGACAATTACAGAAAGTGCATCTTTCTCATTTTCCATCTTGACACTATGTTGCTTTTTTGCTGTCTGTTACATTTAAAAAAATAAAAACAGCCAAATATTTAAGTATTATGTACATTTAAAATTTTTGGTGATGGTTTGTATTTTAAAAGAAACAGCTTCCTATGACTTGCCTCAAGTCTGGTGGAAATGCGTAGAGGAACTAACAACAAAAGCTAATAACAAAAACCAAGAGAAGCACATTCAAAATACTGATTTACTTTGGTAGCAAACGGTTGTTCTTTGTAGACTAATGAAGGCAGACAAGACCCATTAAGGTGAAGTGGGCTATATCAAATACTCAACTGTTTACATAAAATTAAAAAAATTTTCTTTTAAAGAGCTAAGCCTCTGTATCCACTGATAGCAATGCAATATCTAGTTTGACTTGAAACAAAACAAATGCCCATTAGGAAAAAAAGCAATACTTTAATTTTATCCAATTCACTTTTAGTCAATACTCCAGTAACATTTTCCTCCCAATACAATACTCCCTCTCTTTATAAGGCTGTTCCTGGGAGCCAGAAAGTTTAGGTTAATAAGGGAGTTAAGTTAGAGTAATTGCTTGCAGTTTAAACAGACAATAACTTTTTTGCTTCCCTCTTAATGTGCTAATAGTTGTATCTAAAAAAATATGCAATTCTTAGAAAGGTACCATTTCTGATTTTTTAAAAATTATCTGTAACCTTTGGAAACTAATTACATGAAACTACAGAATTAGCAAATGTCTTAAAATCTGTATATAAAACATAAATTACGTCTAATTTCAAACTCTCATTTATTAGTGTACCACTCAATCTTAAAAAAAAAAGTCGGCTCCAAAGACTTGGTCATGGACATTTCCAAGATGAGATTTTATATTTCGCTCCCATAGCTTCTGGTTATCAGAAAACCCATGCTTTCCTTTATTAAAGGAGTTTGGTCCTGCTGATGTTGGTGTATCCCTGTGTTAAAAGAAAAGAAATTTATTCAAAATGTTATACAAAGCCTTTTGGGCCATGTTTTTAATCATTCAAAACACATTTGTTTAGCACTTATTATAAACATAGGCTGAACATCAGAAGCCCCTACAAAGGTTTTAAAAAATATACTTTCCACAGACCCAGTCCTAAAATTTCAGATTCAGGTCTAAGGAGGGACCAAGTAAATTTGTAGTTTTAACATTTGAGGTGATTATGATACACTAGAGGCCCAGTGCAGGAATTTGTGCACCAGTGGAGTCCCTTGGCCTGGCCTGCGGGATTGGGCTGAAACCAGCTCTCTGACATCCCAAGGGGTCCTGGATTGTGAGAGGGCACAGGTCAGGCTGAGGGACCCCACTGATGCACGATCAGGGCCAGGGAGGGTCACGGGAGGTTGGCCAGGCAGAAAGGGACCACGGAAGGGCTCCAGGGCGTGTCCGGCCCATCTCGCTCAGTTCGGATTGGCCGGACACCAGCAGCAAGCTAACCTACTGGTCGGAGCCTCTGCCCCCTGGTGGTCAGTGCACATCATAGCGAGTGGTTGAGCGGCCTTAGCATAACATTAGCATATTATGCTTTGACTGAACAGCTGACCGGACACTTAGCATATTAGGCTTTTATTATATAGGATAGCCAATGGTGGCAACCATTATAGTTTTAAAAAACTGTTGCTATTTTGCTACCTATGGATTCTTCTAAGATTTTTATGGTTTCCCCTCTTACGTTTAAGTCCTTTACCCATTTTGAAATAAGAAAAATATATATACAAAAAAACAAAACAACTGTTGCTTGCAACCCATTAATAAGGTCATGAAATTAATTTACTGGCTTGTCATCAGCATTTATAAAAAATTAAACTTAAGAAAAGCATGAAGATATATCACATACAGAAAGATTTAGGTCATTTTATGAACTCTGTTTCAATTTTACATATTTAGATAGATGTATACTGGTGTTTAGATTGGGTTATAATGCCAGGTATATTTCTTAGATTCCAGTATAAAATGAAGGTACTGGGACTGTTCCCATTTGAATCATAGACCGAAAATCTGAAGGCTGATACCTGTTTATGGATTTAGCAATTAGTTCTTTGGAAGTTCATACATTAAGTAGAAATGGGGACATAGTATGGGTCGATTTAAAGCTAAGCTTTTTTACTAGCTTCTAAATTATCCATTTATGCATACAAAGACAGGAAACCGAACATCATATTAACTTAAAATTAACATTATTTCCATGACAACAGAAACAATAAAGGAAAATTAAAATACTTTTGTTTTATTTTGGTATGTGACATTTAAGTGACCATGGAAAAAAGGGTATTTATGATCAAGATTAAGTGGTGAGAATATCATAAAAAAAATGAGTGAAAGCCATTTCTTTTTATACCAGAAAACAATTCAATATAAATTTTAAACCAGAACATTGCTCCTAGCTATTTCTTATTTGAAAAAACAAAACAAAACATATATATATATATATATGGATTACATGTATCTGAAAAGAAAGTCTTAAATTGTTAATTTTCTTAAAATACTCATAAGATCACTGATTAACTCACAAAACAAAACTGTTATGCTCAATACACAAGAAAAGCCTGAACAATAAAAGATTATGTATAATTTATTCTTGCTCTTAATTCACCATAATTTTCTATAATATTTATGAAAAATTATAATACCTTCCAATATTCTTCATCCTCATCTTTGCTTCTGGAGGCATTTCCTCTGGTTCGCTCTGGAGGGAAAAAAAAAAAAGAAAAACAGAAGTTAACAGAGATTATTGCATATAGATTTATTAAATTCACTTCATTACAATATGCAAAATTTTATGTCTAAGTCTTTTAGCATTTTCAATTCTGTAAATTTTGATAAAAGAAGAAAATTATTTATCTTAACTACATTTTAAAAAGAAATGCACTTCTAGTGTGCTGGTTTTGCATTAAAACTTTTGGTAAAAACTAGATATTCTAGAATTAAAACCATTTGTTGATTATGTACTACACATTGTGTTAAATGCTTTAATATGCATGATATTTTAAAACTCTTTAACAATTGTACAATGTGGTATGATTATCATCATTCCCAATCTGCAGGTGAGATAAACAGGTGAAATTGTCCAAGGTCACAAAGCTAATAAACAGCAAAACAAGAGTGCCAAAGCAAAGACTCTTAACCATCTTACTGGATTATTCCTTCTCAAAAATGTCTCCTTGACTAAAAGATATCTTGAAAGTTCTTTGTTTACTATTTTTTCCCTATTTATAGTTACGGATAAGTTACAATGATGTAAGTTTTTAAGTATAAATTTTGCTGCTGAGCTTAAATATTTTTTTAAAGGGAGTCCTTAAATTAACGGGGTTTCTATTGGTCAAATCTGGGACAATTTGAGCATTATAACCAATTGAATAAAGTAAGAATCCATGAACCCACCACACATATAAATAAGGGAAAGCTCTTCTTTATAGTGCTAAGGGTTAGCTAGCTAGCTTAATTAGGCAGATAGGAAGGTGGGGGGGGGGGGGTGTTCCAGAAAGGATTAAGGCCTTTCTGGCTTGAGCAATTAAAAGCAGCCTGACCTGAGCAGCTGGGAGAGCCTTAGGGGTAATAAAACATCTCCAGCCAGGATAACTGAGAGAGGATCCATGGGGGAGGAAGGCATAGATGGGGGCTTGGAGGCACCAAAATGCTTATCTTACTTTTACAGAGGACAGAAAAATGCCACAGGATAAGGGGGGAGGAAGACATACATTCACAGAGGATAAAGAAAAGTCACAGGATATCAGGAAGGAAACATATTTCCACAAAGGATAGAGGAATGTTGTAAGATAAGGGGAGAGAAAGAGGGGAGCACCAAGTGGGCTTTGAGATTTAAGCTTTGAAACTAATACTGTGTAGCAGAATGACCAATGAGGAAAGCACAGGAGACAGAGACTCAGTAGATTCAGATTACTTAGATTTTTTTTTGAGAGAGAGAGAGAGAGACCTTCCCCATTTGGGGACACCTCTGCCTAGATGGAGTTTGTATATGCTTCTAATAAACGTCTACATTTGTATTAAAGAAATCTGTTAGTCCACAAATTCTTCAACTTCGTTGGACAAGAACCCACGAGAAGAATCTGCACCCTGAACCTCACATTTCAACAGTAACAGAAAGAATTATAAAAGTCTTTTGGCAAACATTGTAATAACTGACTCCAGCAAGAATCACCAATGGATGTTAACACTCAAGAGTAAATGCTTGCCCTGGCCGGTGTGGCTCAGTGGATAGAGCGTCAGCCTGGGGACTGAAGGGTCCCGGGTTCAATTCCCGGTCAAGGGCACATGCCTGGGTTGTGGGCTCGATCCCCAGTAGGGGGCGTGCAGGAGGCAGCCGATGCATGATTCTCTCTCCTCATGGATGTTTTCATCTCTCTCTCTCTCTTCCTCTCTGAAATTAATAAAAATATATTTAAAAAAAAAGAGTAAATGCTTAATATGGAACAGAGTGAGGAATCTCGGAGGGAAGGCGAGGGAGGGTGAATGGGTGGGAGGTAACCAACCAAGGACCTTGTATGCATATATGCATGGCCCATGGACACAGACAATGGGGCGGTGACGGCAGGGGGTGGGGGCGGACTGGAGGAAAAAAGGGGACATATGTAATACTTTCAACAATAAAGATTTATTTTTTAAAAAAAGAGTAAATGCCTATATACCTTCTCAAACAGTATCTCCAATAAGACAAATTTTAATTAGAAAAAAAACAGTGATTTGACAGTACAGAAATCTAGCAGACATCACTTTAACCAAATGATCGAAGTTAATGCTGCCTGTAATGGGACATATTGACAGTATGTGCTCCTTGATATGATACACTGAGAACTTGGCATTACTTCTGTGGTATTCCAGATAAAAGGAATGTGAATCTAATCCTAAGAAAACACCAGACAAATCCAAACTAAGGAACATTCTACAAAATAACTGTCCTAAAATAATGATAATAAAAATAATAAAATAACTGTCCTGAACTCTTCAAAAATGTTAATGCCATGAAATACACGAAAGACCCAGAGACTGCCCAAATTAGACTCTAGAGAGACACAAGAATACCCTTTGTCTAATATGTTTCAGGCTCAGATATATATTCGAGGTTACTTGCCATGTTTCTACAGAAAAAGGACCAGATAAATATTTTATTTTGTATGTTTCAGATATTAGTCCTTTGTTGATTTTATTTTTACTTATTTTAGAATTTTTATAAGAGTTTATTTGAGACAAACTGAAGACATATGTTGGGAACCAAATCTCAAACGCTCCCCTCTTTGTTGATTTTATTTTATTTTTTGGTATTTCTTAATTGACTTTTTTTTTTTTAATTGAGAGAGAAAGGAAAGGGGGAAAGAGAGAAACATCGGTAGGAGAAACATCAATCCGTTGCCTCCCACATGCACCCTGACTGGGGATTGAACATGCAACCCAAGCAGATTATGTGCCCTGACTGGGAATCGATCCCGTCACCTTTTGGTGTACAGGGCAATGCTCCAAACAACTGAGCCACACCAGCCAGGGCCCTGTCTTTGTTGGTTTTAGACATTTGCAAATATCTTGTTCCAGCTTTCATCATTACCTTTGTCAATAATATTATTAAACAGAAATCCTTAATTTTGGTACAATCTAATTAGTCAATTTTACTTAGGGTATGGGGAAAATGTTTTTTATATAAGTTTATTTGAGCCAAGCAGGTAACATATACAGGGGAGCAAGATCTCAAATGCTCTCCAGATAAAGATTTTAGATGCATTGCATTCTTTTATCTAAGAGACAAATTTATCCCTTCCTATCATTACCATCTTATAGCAGAGAAAGAGTGTTGCCTGAACCTGTCCAAAATTTCTTTATAAAATATTTAGAGAAAGCAGTAAGGGATGATGCAAAGAACAGAGGACTAGAAACCAAAAGACCTAAGTTCAACATTTGTGTGTATCCGCACATACTTATGCATACTTTATTTAACTTCTTAACTTCTCCATTTGCAAAATAGAAATAACTGTACCACATGATTCACAGGGATGTATGGAAGGTAAAATAAAGTTATGTGAAAAGATACCCCAATTGTTAGGTATTCAAAAAAGAAAACAAAAAACAACACAAATTGTTAGGTATTCAGAGTAACCAATTACTGCCCTCAATGGATAGAGCATGGGCCTGTGGACTGAAGGGTCCAGGGTTCGATTCTGATAAAGGTCACATGCCCAGGTTGCTGGCTCAATCCCCAGCAGGGGACAGTTGGTTAATGATTCTCTCTCATCATTGATGTTTCTATCTCTCTCTCTCCCTTCCTCTCTGAAATCAATAAAAATATATTTAAAACAAGAAACAACAACAACAAAAAAACCCCAAAAACAAAGAAAGCAATTACTACTATATATTTATTGCTTATAATTTCCAGCCTCTCCACTTTTACACATGATGTTTCCTTCTTCCTATATTGTCCTCATACAATCTGTTAAGAATGTCAAAATGACAGAAAACAGTAAATATTATTTGTTAGTACTTTTTAAACCTTCCTGGGGAGAATGGGGCAATGAAATACATTTTTTCTTCAATAAAATCTCACTTTGGGTTCCCAATTATTAAACAGATACAAGAATTTCTGTAAGTAAACAGGGCAGGAGACCAGAGCCCTGCTTGTTAGGTATCATCACCTTCCAGCACAGTAGCTCCTGAAACATTTCAAGAGAACACCAGAACTCTGAAAAATAGTTTAAAAATCTATGTTCTAAATAGAGCCTTCATTTCACAGTTTAAAAACTACAGCTCCAAAAAGGTAAAGTGATTTATGCACAGGCTTTCTACTGGTTAAGAACTGGACAAACAGGAAAAGAATTCAGGTCTCCTGACTGCCAATCTAGTGGTCTTTTCAGGTATCTAGTACCAGCCTCTTTCTTTCCCTGAATTCCACATCACTTCATCTCCAGGTACCTTTGATTTTTATTTTGTACTATTTTATGTATAAGTCTCTGCTCTAGAAGGCTGAGCTCCTAGAGAAACTTGTCTGATTTACCTTTGTAATCTCACTGTGCCTAGCATATAGAAAGTACTCAAATGTGTAGAATGAGTAAAGGTCCAAAGAATACAGTGATGACCAGTTCTTTACCTACTGACCTGGGATCCAAGCATTTCACATTTATCCTTGCCCAAAACTAAAAAAATCTCCAGCACAGTCAAATGGAGCTGCTTAGTATTTATCACCGTGATTTGAAAATTGACATCTTAGCTTACAAAAGTATTCCTTGGTTTGTCAAAATCCTACCTAATGTTTCAATACCCAACTCATATTTTTCTGTTATATATTCTTCCCAATCACTCCTACCCCAGTGTTTGTGCTCCTCCGAATGTATAATTCTTATCCAGATTCCTTTTGGGAGCAATTTACTCATGTATCCAGTAACACTTAATTGTTATATAATGGGGTCAAATCTTAAAAAATGAGGGTTAGGTTCTAAAGTCAGAGTCTAAGGAAAAGTCAAAATTATGCTTAAAATTCCATAGTCATTCATAAGCATGGTGAGAGAGAGACCCTATGAGGGGCATGAAGGGACTAGGACTGCCTATGACAGCAGATAAGCATCTTATGTTTACTCTGGAATACGAATTCATTGAGTGAAACTTCTAGCAGAATCACCTGCACTATTTAATTGTTATTCCTCACAGGGATAAAGGGAGAAACCAATACAGCTGCCTCATGGGGATAAAGGAAGAATCAGTTGTATTATTAAAATGTCTCATCACTGAAGACTTCAGCTATAAAAATTATTAAAGGCAGTATTCAATTTTTTTTGGATGCTACATACTTCCTAGTACATACATATATTATCTATCCATATAAAAGCCCAGCGACTCTTAGGGCGGAACGACCGGTCGCTCAATGTGCACTGACCCCCAGGGGGCAGGCGCTGAACACAGGAGCTGCCCCCCTCGTGGTCAGTGCACTCCCACAGCGGGAGTGCTGCTCAGACAGGAGCGCTGCTCAGACAGACGCCGTGGCAGCACTAAGGAGCGGCGAGCCAAGTGGTAAGGAGCAAGCAGGCGGGTGGTTAGGAGTGAAGGGTCCTGGATTGTGAGAGGGCGCAGGCCGGGCTGAGGGACCCCCCCACACACAAATTTTGTGCATCAGGCCTCTAATTCATAAGAAGCATTTATCAATGATTAAGTTCCTTGCCCCCAGAGTTAACAATATTTTAAATAACCCTACAACCAAATATAATAAATAGAAATATCCAGATTTCACAGATGTCTCACACACAGAAACTGATCAGAGTTGTAAAGGAAATTCACTAGTACCATTAACACAACCTATAATCTGCCACTAACATCTTTCTTAAAGAACTGGTTAAAGTAAAATAAACAAAACTGGGTGTCAACTTACATCTTCATCTTCATTAAAAGCTGCTGCTACTGAAAGGGTTTTTGGAGCAAGAGTTGGAACAGTTTCTTTAGGTTTCTGAAGAAAAAAACATATTAAAGAGTATGACATAACATCTACACAGGCTTAATGATATAAATAATTTATCATCAAATATTAAACTTTATGTTTTCATAGAAATAGTAAGAAACTCAGAAAAAACTTTGGACAAATCCATTCTTTCTTTTTGAAAATGTGGGTTATCAATGGGTAGCTTTTTACTTTATTGTCCATTTTTTCCCTCTTATAAAAGATTTCCTAGTTAGGACCTATAATTTAGTATCATTTAGCTAAGGGGCACCTGGGACAGGTAAGAGAAAATTATCAGCATTACTTTCCCATTGTAACATTAAAATTAAGTAGTGTACCTTGGGAACATAAAAAGACTCCAAGGCTCATCTTTCTACTAGCTAGCTTCCTGCCCTATAGCCTATATAAGCATGCTTCATTCATAGCATCTCTTCTAATCTGTTTGAAGTAAATTGTCCTCAGTATGTATCTCCAATCCTCTCACCACCCATTCAGTCTTCAACCCACTGCAATTTGGCTTCCTCCCTTACCATTCTTCATGATTCCTCACTCAACTAGAATCAGGTGACCCTGATTATATAATCACCAATGACAAGTGTGCTACTTTTGACTCTAATCATCAGTTCCTTTTTTGCATTTTATTTTATTTTTAAATATATTTTATTGATTTCAGAGAGGAAGGGAGAGGAAGAGAGAGATAGAAACATCAATGATGAGAGGGAATCATTGCTTGCTGCCTCCTGCACGCCCCACACTGTGGGTCAAGCCCGCAACCCGGGCATGTTCCCTGACTGGGAATCGAACTGTGACCTCCTGGTGCACAGGTCGACGCTCAACCACTGAGACATGCTGGCTGGGCACCAGTTCCTTTTTTAAAACACCCCTACCTTGCCCAGCCGGTGTTGCTCAGTGTTTAAGCGTCCACCTATGAACTAGGAGGTCAAGGTTCGATTCCCCGTCAGGGCACATGCCCAGATTGTGGGCTTGATCCCCAGTAGGGGTGTGCAGGAGGCAGCCGATCAATGATGCTCTCTTATCACTGATAGTTCTCTCTCTCTCCCTTCCTCTCTGAAATCAATAAAAATACATTTAAAAATAAAAACAACCCTACCTTTGCCTCTGTGACACTGTTTTTTATTGGCAATTTTCCTAATTCTCTGACCTTTTATTCTCTTTTCTCCCTCCTGTTCCCCTTCAAATGACAGGTACCCTAAATTCTGTCTTTAGTGACCTTTCCTTCTCTATTCTCCCCTGGTCAACTCCATCCATCCCAAACCAAGTATGTCAAACTCCCCCACCTTCTAATCCTTTGTACAGAGTGATGTATATGGTGATGTTTCTAAAATGCAAAACCATTTAAGTATCAATATTCCTTATAATGTTCTATGGCTCTGCTAGAACCTAAAGAATAAGGCCAAATTACATTATGGAATTCAAGTCCTTTATGATTTGATCCTATGGTCTCATTTGGGGGCTTTCTATCTTATATTCACCTTCCAAACACTTTCCAAGTACAATTTCCTGAATGTACTGTATGGCTTCATATATAAACTGCTTTTACATGAAATTCCTTTTATCTGAGATGCCCTTCGCTTCCTGCCTGCACTTAAGGCAAACTCAAACATCACTTTATCAGTGAAATTTTCTCTGACCTGCAACAAAATTAACCATCCCTTCTTCTATAACACACACAAATATTTTTATAAACAATATTTGCTTCTGAAGGAATAAGAAATGTTAATTTGGAGATTATGCATAGTGACTCTAGAACAGGGGTGGGCAAACTTTTTGACTCGAGGGCCACAATGGGTTCTTAAACTGGACCGGAGGGCCGGAACAAAAGCATGGATGGAGTGTTTGTGTGAACTAATATAAATTCAAAGTAAACATCATTACATAAAAGGGTACGGTCTTTTTTTTTTTTTTTTAGTTTTATTCATTTCAAACGGGCCGGATCTGGCGTAGTTTGCCCACGGCTGCTCTAGAAACACCCTTCAATCTTTTAAAGAACTCATGTATTTGCTGTAGGTACAACATAAGACACCAGGTAAGTATTTGTTGGTTGATCGGACTACCTTTTCACATCACATAATCAACAACAATTCCAACTATTTCTTATATCTTACATCTCTACTCCCCAAGAAAATTATGTTTGCACTATCATTTATTTTATAAAAATAGGTTTTTGTTTTCCAAAGATTAGTTTTACTGAGTAGGCTTTTTCAAACATAACCCTCCCATCTAATATGATCAGGCATTACTAAATTGCTAAATGTGAATTAGGGATTTATATATCCAATTTAAGGGGTGTGTTGAACCACAGTAAAATTTATTATCAAGGGGAACATCTGTATAAGAAGTGTACATTAGAATACATTTTTAATCACTATCAAAAAAAGTAAATTTTGCCTTAACCGTTTTGGCTCAGTGGATAGAGTGTCGGCCCTCAGACTGAACGGGTCCCGGATTCGATTCTGGTCCAGGGCACGTGCAGGATCCCTAGCCCCATCCTAGCTACCGTTGGGGTGCGTTTGGGAGGCAACCAATTGGTGTGTCTCTCTCACTTTGATGTTTCTCTCTCTGTATCTCCCCCTCCTTTCCACTCGCTCTAAAAAATATATCATTGGGTGAGGATTAAAAACAAAAAAAATATTTATGCAGGTAAGTCTATGCAACTTAAAAAAAGAGATTAAACAAAAAAATCAGTTCTGATAGGGAGACGAGTCTTAAGTAATGAAGTTACAAGCTGAATGTCTTGATGGAAGTGGGAGTTCTGAGAAATGGTAGCTTTTAAAATTAGCAGTGTGGGTCACACTTATAGTAGAAACTTGATCCATATCAGATTTAAAGTTCTTTGAATGAACATCTAATGCAGAAAAAAGCTGTATGCATCTAGCAACTGAGCATTAATTTTCACAGAAAAGATATGAAACTCAAAAGCAATTTTAGGATTTTTCTCCTTACACAAGAATGTAACTATTTTCTAAAGCTTATAGCAATACAACATATAAGTAACTTTTCTTCTTAAAGAAGAGATCTATTTGGATAAACCATATAAAATAGTTATAGTCAAATTTCTAAACCTCATATGCTTCAATCTAGTATTTCAAATACTTTCCAGATACTCCATAGTTCGTAAATATTGATTCATGGTTTAAACAAGGGATCAAGCCCTGCCAGTGTGGCTCAATGGCTGAGCAACGACCTATGAACCTGGAGGTCATGGTTCAATTCCCGGTCAGGGCACATGCCCAGGTTGTAGGCTCGATCCCCAGTGTGGGGTGTGCAGGAGACAGCCTATCAGTGATTCTCTCTCATCATTGGTGTTTGTTTGTTTCTTTTCTTTTTTTTTTCATCATCATTGATGTTTCTATCTCCCTCACCCTTCCTCTCTCGGAAATCAATAAAAATATATTTTAAAAAAACCACACATGCACAAAAACCCCCACAAGGGATGAAAAGTTGATCTGTAAGGAACTACTGTCACAGGATATCAATGAAGGTCCTCGTGCAGCTCCAAAATAAGATAATCAGGAAGCTCTTCTTATCAAGGAATATTTTGCTAATATTAACCTTTTAAGATAAAATAATTTCTAGAGATATTATTTTTAATATTGCTAGAATTGAAAGATATGAAAAATAAGCTAAAATTCTTTCTGAAAAAATTTTAAGAGGTTTTGCTCAACTTAGGAAAATTCCAAGCTATTACTTGTAGTTGTTTCTTATATTCCAAACCTTTTTAAAATTAAAAAAAACTTTATTAAGATATAGCTCATACAGGTCTTTCTTGAACATGGAGCTAATAACTCCTTAAATACCTATAGGTACACTTTTATACTTAATTTACCTAACTCAGTGAAAGCAGGTTTCCAAAACAAATTCTTAAGACCCATTACGAATATCATATATAAAATAACAACTCACACTTGATCCAAGTTTGATGGATATGGCGGAGGCTTTCTTTGTCGTCTGACTACCTATGGCAAATCCAAACTTGGAGATCTTTGTAGGCTTTGTTGGGAGGTCTGCAGCTTCTTCTTCAGCTGATCGCTTCTCAGCGCTGCGACTGGAACTTTCCCCTCCATTACTGGAAGAAACAGTCTTAGTTTTCACAGGTTTTTCTGCTTCTTCTTCAGGTCCTGGTGAAGTCGAAACAACTTACCAAGATGAGCTATTTTTACTGAGCAGACTGACGGGAGCAGCAACCTCAAAAAGCATCGTTATAAGGAAGATACCTCTGCAGTTGTCACCTACTGACCCAACAGTCTCATCCACTGTTTGTTAAAGTATACAACAGGAACTGAGATTGTGGCAGTAGAAGAGGCTCCCATGAATTAACTAGCATAAAATACAGAGCAATTTAAAATTATAAACAGAGTTCACAGAAAGTAAAGACCCTTCAACTAAACAGTTAAGTTGTACAATAATCTAGTTATTTGTGAGATTTTGTTTAGAAATTAAGGTCTGTAAATTGTTCTACACAAACTAGTTTGTGAGCAATTAGTCACATCATAGGATAATACATTTGACTAGTAAGTTCCAATATTCTTCAATAATGTACTATTAGTTATACAAAGTACCTAGTTATAAACAGCCATTATTACCTGAACTACAGTTATAAACAGCCATTATTACCTGAACTACAATGTTAGTAAAGCCTGGAATAACTTTCTTGAGTGATGTGTTCCTCATGTACATCTCATACAATCTTTAAAGGAACTTTAAAGAAGACTACAAAGGTTATCACCCTTTGAGTACTTCTCCTCTGAAAGCTTGGTTATTATCACCTGTTTTAAGTTACCCTTAAGAGCTTTTAACAATCATAATTGGATAGGGGGTAATGTGGGGATAAGGACACATATGTAATAACTTAATCAATAAAAAAAACCTTAGCAAAAAAGAGTTTAGTGGGTTACCCCTTGGACCCCTCCTTATGTGGGAGTCTGTATTTGCTCCCAATAAATTTCCACTCTTTTCATCTATACATATAAAAAAAAAGAACCCACAAAAAAACCCAAAAAAAACAATCATACTTAGGTTTATACATTATTTTTAATCATGAAAGAAAGATGAGCTAATTATAATTTCAAACAGTAGAAGGCATGCATACAAGATGTTTTTCAGTAATTTTGCTCCTGTTTGCATTAATAAATGATGAAATGAGTTCACATCTCAGATATGTTATACAAGGCTATTTAAGAACATATTGAGAGGTAAGACAGAAGGCTGGCTATTATTAAAATTCATATTTTCTTTCCCCAGTTTACCAATTCACTCTATGGGATGTATTCTGCTACAATGGATGGATTTATTTATGCTCTAAGGGACAGCTCTGACAATAGTTAAGAAACAGTACAAAAAGCCTGAATGCAGGGGAAGGGAGGAAATTAAACACAGACTGACAAGTAACTGATTAAAATAAAAAAGGGTAGGCTATATATCTCAATCTATATAATTTGGAATTGTAGAGTCTCTAGTTAATAAGCACTTTGAACAGAACATCTGATTTTGTTGAGAGGAAAAATAACTCTTAATTTCCTTTGGACAAGGAGTGAGAGTTGTAATGACAATGTAGGAAAGAAATTAAGCAGGATTAGGTTTTGGGATTTCCCCAGGAGGTGCCATTTACTTACTCAGATATGAAATTACAAAAGTACCTGAAGAAAGAAAGATTACTATTCAATAGCTAAAATGCAGAACTCAATTTAGAATTTCTTTTTAAAAAATATAATGTATGTGGTGGTTGCCAGAGGGAAGTGGGGAGATGGAAAAGGGGGTCCCAATATATGGTGTCAGGAGATTTGACTTTGGGTGGTGGGCACATGGTACAATATACAGACCTTGTAACACAGAAACCCACACCTGAAACCTATATGGTTCATGTCGACCCAATAAATTTAAATTAAAAATAAATTTAAAAAAGGATTATGTAAAGTTTTTTCAAAGTCTAAGTTTATAACTAAAATAGTTTATGCTAAATTATATTCTGCTTTCTATTTATAGTTTTTTTATTGTTTAAAGTATTACATGTCCCCCTTTTTCCCCGATTGACCCCCCCGCCCCCAGCGACTCCCACCCCCAAGGGCAAACCCCCATCTATTTATAATTTTAATCACGTATAACATTTACAGTAAACCCAAACAGTGATAACTTCTCTGTGACTGATACACAGCTAAAATTGAAAACTCTTCAAATTGGAATATATAGAAATTCTGAAAATAAATAAAAACAAATAGTGCAAAGAACATTTAGTTTTAATTGTAGTATAACTGCTCTTTGAACTGTGACTCAAGTGTTATATAATTAGTCAAGATTTCCTGTTCTTTTAAAACCCATCTTTACCTAATTCTAGGTCTCCTGTTATCCAGAAAATATTTTTGAAACAAAAAATAATCTTCAAAAATTAAAGCATAAATAATAAGTGAAAATATAATTCTTACTACAATATTAATAACATTAAGTGTGATAACTAGCTGTACTAGTAATGTGCTAATACAGGGATCACAATAGTATCTGTCCAATTGCATCATGCTATAGGGAAGAGATTTCTAGAGACTGCTCTAGAAAAAGGGAGCATGAAAAGGGGAGCTGGGAAAACTATCATTAAGTAAGTAATCAACTGGCAGCAACTCAATTATATTCACATTTGTATTTTTGTCATCTGAAGAAGCAAACTATTAAGACCACCTACATCTCAGATGCACACTGAAGATTAAAGCATACTATGTCTATTAGGTCATTTTCACACATGGCTGATTCCAGATCAGCAATTTATTTTTGGATATAGAAAACTAGCCTTGCTCACTCTCAATAAGTTTTTGTCTTTTTTTTGGTAAGCAATTGTGAATACTCAGTAGCTTTAGAAAACATTTATTCTTCAATAAAAGGTAGGGGGGGAAAGGGAGTGAAGGAAGGTGGATGCACTATTAGTACTCATTACACTTTTCGTGGACTGAACTGCTATTTTTTCATGCAATCCTCTTCTAACAATTACGTAGTAAGATACATGAAACATTTAGGAAATATAGCAAAATGAAATAAGCAATTGATGTAAGGGGGAAATATGACAGCCAAATCTATGTTATTATCAGTGTGATTATTATAATTTCTGCAATTATAGAGAGAGCTCATTAGAACATTATTTCAACCTAATGTAAGCTTTGAAACATACCATTAAAAACAACATCAATTCTTAATTTTATTAAGTGCTTTCCTTTAAACACAACATGTACTACTTTAATATTTAGGGGTTTTAATAAAAACTGCTGTTTTCAATGTATTTAATGAGATGTTTTCTATTTTGAGACTGGAAAACAAAAATTTGAATGACCAAAGATTTTTGAAAATTTTTGGCAATGTGATTTATATTTTAAAGGATGAATAAGTATATGGTCAACTTTTTAAAAATAAGAAAATAATGTATAACAAAACATGGACAGTTATATCAAACTACTATATTTTTTATCAAGGGATATTTTAATAAAAGGGATTTTATCTAGTTTATATTCATTCTGAACAAAGTGTGATTAGTTAATATGAAATTAAATTACACATTGTACAAACATTTTTCCCCCCCATTGAATGGTTGGGGAGAGGAGTGCCTTGGGGCATAAAGGTATCTTACTTTAAAAAAAATTACCTATTAAGAAAGTAAGTTTAGGGGTATCCTTCATGACCCATTTACACACTGGTAGCTCTTCGCCTGAAAAAAGGGTACACAGCCATCTCCCTAACAGATTAAATGAGAACATATTCAAGACCTATAGCCTGGCATAATAAATGTCAATTTCATTAGATAGATCTTAGATAACCTACAATATCCTGAAATGGCCATGATTATGATATGAATAGCTCTTCTCTAAAATTTCTATTTATTTCAAGGAGATACAAAAATTCAGCCATGCCCTAAACCGTTGGCTCAGTGGATAGAGAGCCTTCGGACTGAAGGGTCCCGGGTTCGATTCCAGTCAAGGGCATGTACCTTGGTTTCGGGCACATTCCCAGTAGGGGGTGTGCAGGAGGCAGCTGATCGATGTTTCTCTCTCATCGATATTTCTAACTCTCTATCCCTCTCTCTTCCTCTCTGTAAAAAATCAATAAAATATATTTTTTAAAAATCTACCTAAGGCCTCACCCTTAGCATTATCTCTTCTCTTCTCTTATTCACATAAATTCATGTTAACTATGAAAGTAATCACACAAAAAATACTTATACTTCCAATTTACTGGACTATTCAATAGGAATTAAAAGCCAGAATATTCTCTAAATAAACCCTTAAAATAAACTTCATAGTATTTCAAAAACAGTGGCTACTGGCCACAAAATGAACAATTTAGCAATATCCACTCTATTAAATATTTTAACTATGATTCCTTTGTACAACTTCATTATAAATACCTGACATTAGCCAAGCTGGTGTGGCTCAAAGGTTGAACATCAACCTATAGAACCAGGAGGTCACAATTTGATTCCTGGTCAGGCATATGCCTGGGTTGTGGGACTGATCCTCAGTGAAGGGTGTGCAGGAGGCAGCTGATCAATGATCCTCTCTCATCATTGATGTTTCTATCTCCCTCTCCCTGTCTGTCTGAAATCAATAAAAATATATTTTTAAAAAACAGCTAACATTAAGAAATGGTTTATATGTGCCCTGGCTGGTGTGGCTCAGTTGGTTGGAGCGTGTCCCTACACCAAAAGAAAGGTTGTGGGTTTAGTTCCCACTCAGGGCACATGCACAGGTTGCAGGTTTCATGCCCAGTTGGGTGTGTGAGGGAGGCAAAGAATAAATATTTCTCTCTTTCCCTCAAAACAACAATAAAAATCCTACAATTAAATAGATAAACAAAATGGTACCTTCTCTTTTTTTAAAAAAAGGTTATGTGCTACAGCACTATTTTCTTGTAAAGGAAAGCACACCTGAGACAAATAAGGGTTATTAAGGGTTATTACTTATTCTAAGTCATCTATAAGGAGTCCATAATAATTTTAATACCAATTAGTAAAGATAATTTTATACCACCTACCACTCTCCCCAAAAACATGCTAAAACAGAAACATCAATATTCATACTAAAGCTAATTATCCCTACTGAAGGGGTGGTGGAAAAATTATATAGTGGAATTATGCTAATACTTTGACAGCATATTAAATACACCTCCTATACTTTCAGTTAAGAGAGTTAAAAAAAAAAAGCCAGTTTAAAAGCTAGATAAGATTCTTTAGGCTATCGATTTTTCTTCTTCAAATCACTAATTTTTAAATGTAACTTTACTCGATACTTTCCAAGACAATTTTTGAAGGGAAAAAAGTCCCTAATGAGATAGTAAATAACCAGGGGAGAGGGGAGGGAGGAGTATGGCTCCACTAATACCACTGTACCTATTTTTTTAAAAAGGAACTTGTGTGTCCAAAGTAACTGAACAATTACACTTTTCTCAAGGCAGTTCACATTCAACATCCTATTAACAGTTGTTGATAGCTGCCTTCAAATGCCATCAATGTCCTGTATTTTCTCATACGAAATACTGTCAGGAAGAAGAACTGGAGGGAGCTGGGGAGTAATGCTGAAAACGTTCTAAAGATACTACGATCAGCTCGCACGTGTTCAATTAGGTGCCTTGTTACGACAAAGGGTGGCTGGAGGCGTTGCGTTTCTTTTCCTGAAAGCACGAGACCTGAACGTACAGGGGCGGAGGGGACAAAACCAAGCCAGCCTGCGTGCACATCGCAACAAAATACAGGAAGAGTTACACGAGCCCCCGCTGGCACCTGAGCATCTGGCCTGCAGACAGCTGGCGACAGCCTGACTCGGAAAAGGCAGACACCCCAAAGCCGGGCAACCAAGCCCTAACCCTGGACCCCGCAGCTGCAACCAGCCGGCGGGCAGACAAAGGTTTCCTTCCCCCTTTCCTCCGCCGCCTCCACCCAGCCCGGGACAGGGTCAGTATTCGGCTGGAAAATAAAGGGAAGGGAATAAAGGCCGGGGCCGTCCACCTCCCCAGCGCCAAGCGGCAGACGACCCGCTAGGTGTAAGCGAGAGGGCGGCACCGTCGGAAACTTGGCGAGCG